TAAAATAAAATATTTAAAATTTTATTTTTCAATATAATATAATCAAATTAAATTAAAATTTTTATCGAATTAATATTTTAGGATAATAATTAATTATTTTTATTATAATAAAATATCTACTTTATAAAACAATTAGTAATTAATTTAATTATAATTCTTATTTTAAATGTAAAAAATTTTAATTTCTATAAAATAATATAATTTAATTATAAAAAAGAAAAAAAATATTGATATTTCTAAACTATAAATTTAAATTTAAAATATAAAAATTTACTGTATTTTATTTATGTATATATATATATATATATATATTTCTTATTATATTTTAATTTATAGTTATTTTTTTATATACTAGTAATTTATTGTAATTGATGTTCATGTTAGTAAATTTTTGAACAAACCTTAACTTAGGAATCTCATGGCCTATTTTATCTCCCTTCTGTTTCCCAGTTCTCTACCGTCGTCTTTACTCGTCCTTGCTAAAGTAACGTCTTTCTGCTAGTTTGACGTTCATTAGATAAGCAAGTTTGTTTCGTATACGATTTTGGTTTATTCTAATTATCAAATTACTTGACATTATAATTTACTTTTTTATCTGTATGCCTTGCGTACGTTTTCATCTTTTAAAATTTTCCATGAGTAAGTTATTTATTGATTTGGTACAATACTTTATAACGTCAATATCTATGATTACTTGCATATTAAAATCAGTATAAAATATATTTATTTGAAATTAGTATTTTTTTTATAAATATATAAGAAATATTAATAAATAAATTTTCCCAATTTTATTACTATAAATAATAGCAAAATTCATATTTTTTTTTTTTTAATTGGCTTATTACTGTTACTAGGATTGAACATATTAATTTTTTTCAATATTTTTTAATCTGTTTTAATATAATAATTAATATATAATTAATAATATAAAATAATTGTTTAATGTATGCATATTTATATTACAGATGTTTTTATAGTCTTCCTACAGCTATTGGTAATGCAAATACCTTTTTTTATTTCAATGTCCACAAGATGGTATTTGTCTTTAAACTTTAATTTTAGCTGAGAATAGAAATGTGAACAATGACAGGATATTTACAAATGGCATATAATATTCAATTTAACATCTCTTATGAATAAGTATGAATTATAATTATTAATTTAAATTATATTCATATAATAAATTCAATATGATGAATTTTATCAATATAATATGAATTTTAATTAAATTGAATATTTGAATTATTTTGATATTACAGAATAAGACAAAATTGATTTATCTTGATGGTGATGCGGGGATGTGGATCTGTTTTGATCCTATAGGAAGCCGAGAAGGCTGGCATGCTTTTATTTTATTTTGCATATTTCTTTGTTGGACTTCTTTTGGTATTAATGGCAGTTTAACAAATGCAGCTACATTTAATGTCCCTCATAATACTGTTACATCAGATATATCACTATCACTTTCAACACACCATGAAGATGACGAATGTAGGAATGTGACTACTGATAATAGAGCTAGTATGTATTATGATTATATTATATAAAACATATTATATATAATTGCAATAATATCATAATTACATTTATATTTTTATAAATATATAATAAATTATCTTTATGTAATAAAATATCTTTATTATAAATTTTTTGGAATAATTTTAAATATAAAAGATAATATATTTAACATTTTATTTTTAAAAATATTATTACTAAATTATTTTATTATTTAAATTTAATTAATTTTATTAAATATTTGAAAAAAAATACTTCACAGCTGGTCTATCAGTGATCAATCAAGGATCTAGTTCTCCTCATTCGCCAATAGTGCCTCCAACTTTTCTGTACGGAGTTCTTACCTGCCAACCATATCAAGGAATTTCTGTGAACCACATCTATTTTCAACTAGCAAATGCGTTCTTTCTATTATCACACCTTGCACCAAGTGGCATACATGGTGTACTTTATTTAAGGTGCACTCTACTCGTGGGCTGTGCCTTTCTTGCTTTGTGGGGCTGGACAATAGCTTGTTGGCTGGATGCTGCTCTCTGGAATGCTCTGTTTGTTGCCATCAACTTCGTCCATGTATGCACGCTTCTTTATAAGCTCAGGCCTATCAAGTTTTCAAGGGAAATTGAAGAGGTAAGCTAAAATTAAGAAATTAATAATTTAATTTAATCATAGAATCCTTTGTATTCTTTGTACATTTGTGCGTATGTGCATGTGCACACATGTATAAAGCGTTGAAATGTAATATTTGAACTTATTATAAAAATATTAAATATGCAAATAAAATACACACATATTTAAGAAACATTTAATAAATATTTAAAACAAACATAAAAATAATTATATCTTATTATCAAATATAAAAATATAAGCTTTCATTGTTTTCTATTATGAACAATTATTTCCAAAAATTATATGAATTAATATAATTAATATTGTATAATAGAAATATTCTTGTAAGTATTATTTAAGTAAAATATTTGCCTATTTTTACATATTTAATCTAGAAATAGAATCTCTATTAATCATACTTTTATTTTTCTATTTTTTTTTATAATATATATTATTTTTTTTAAGTAATATGATATTTTTGTTATGTATAATATTATTAAATTTTATTATGTATATATATTATTGTATAATATATATATATATATATATATATATATTAGAATCTTTATTATAGTGAATTGCTTATATGTATATGTATGTTTGGCTATAGCATTTGCATTAGATTAAGAAGCAATAATATTT